GTCAAATCAATTAAATTTGAAATCTCTTTTAAATTTTTTATTCATCTTATGCCAACTACTAAGTACTTATATTTTATTAAAATAACTGCATAGCATTWAAACTAGGCTATTTCAATGAAATAAAGAAAACTAAAATTTTTCATGAGTAACGGTTATAAAAATAGTACATTTCTATAATTCTTCTTATGACAACATTAAGAAGACACTACACATATATTTGTTGTCTCCATCTTACAAATGAGTAACATAACAAATTTATGCTTAGCAGATCATTTTTAGCTCCATTAGTTTAAAAATTAGATTAAATTGACCTATTGTGAAACTTGATGGTAAGAACATGATCTGTGTTTGTATGTGGGTTTTTTATGATGATTTAGTTTTAAAATATGCATAACTTGTAACAAAATTGAACTATCATAAAAAAAACCACATACAAACACAGATAATGTTCTTACTATCATGTTTCATAATAGGTTAATTTACTCTAATTTTTAAACTAACGAAGTTAAACGTGATCTGCTAAATGTAAATTTGTTATGTTACGCACTTATAAGATTAAGASAACAAATATTTGTGTAGCATCTTCTTAAGTCACTATTTTGTTCCACAGACATTATCAAATTTTACCCTAACCTACCCGAATTAAACATTTCCAATGTTAGAATTCCCTTCAAGAGCACATATATGGGCTTTCCTTACATAACCCCAGAGCACACTCTTATGCATTTGTATTATTTATGATTAATATTAGATTATTACCTCTTGGTTTTGATAACATTTYTCCCAAACAATAAATGCATCACTACTTTCCTTTAAGCTAATTAATGAATTAAAATATGACCAATCCCCTAAATGTTCATGACACTTGAATAAATGTTGAATGCAATTTAGCTCATTACTGTAAAAATATATTTTACATTAATAAATTAAGTGGTTATTCAAAGGATATTAGAAGTTAGAACAATATATTTATAGTCAAATATTTCTATTAAAGTTGTTTATATACATAATATATGTATATATATATATATATATATATAACAGTCATTCATATTTCAGACTTTATGACAATATGGTTAAATTGTAATCATTATCATAATATAAGTAGAATATTTATAAAATATGTTGAGCTGATATCTGCTCAACTTTATCCCTATATTTATCATTAAATGTTTATTTACCGTACAATTCTTAAAACTTGATCAACAGGYGAAAAACTGCTTAGATCATTCTGAATATTTTCAACAGTTTCAGATAGCTCACTAAAATTAATCCAACTGTTCGAARTTCCGATTTCATACAATTTATCATATAGTTCAAGAAGTTGGAGTCTCACAGATATAAATTGTAGAAGCGAAGTCATAAATTTTATAACATAATTATCATCAACCTCAGTTTGGAGTTTTTCAAGGTCTTGAAACAAGGTCTTATACACAAAGTCCAGATAGTTCTGCAATAAAAAAGAGATGRAAAACTCWATAAGTCAATCATCATGTCATATYATTGCAAATAGGTACCTCGTCTTCTTTTCGCTCAAGCATTTTAATTCTTGAAGGCTCAAAATTGGTATCATAGTAATTCTTTTCAGCCAAAGCAAAATCACATAGAATATCAAACATTGACTTGGGCCAAGCATTTTTCAAATAAACTAAACGTTGTTTYTCCTAAAAAATAAATTATTAAGAAGTATTTATAGTAAACCTAACAAAAAATTATTTTTATTGCAAAATTACCATAAACACTTTAGCATCATCATAACTAGATTTTGATAGATAATTAAAAAATATCCGAACAATTTCTTCTTGAGACTTAGCCATGTTTATGTAATTATTATAATATAATAGTGAGTTTTATTACATGTGATGTTTAAAATGTCTTACTATYATTAAATAAATAATTGAGCTCCAATATTAATCGTAATAATAAAATCAATAATAAAATAATTCATCAGGTTAAAAAAAATAATTTAGGTACATTTAAACAAACAGGTAWTCAATATTCATGTCATCATGAAATCATTACAATTAAATTTGATTTGCATTTTTTATTAGTTTATTACAGTATCACATATGTTTTTGGAACTGTTAAGTGATTATATAATCTGATAACCTGTGCTAAGCTCATTTCTATGGTTCTAGATCACGTCAGATACTATCTTAAATCGTGGTCCATATCATGCCCATTTAAAAATTTAACCTTGAATCACAGAATATTTAGATATATAATATATATAATCTGTGTTTAGATCATCTAGAAAAAAATTATACTATTATCACAGATTATATAATTAAAATATATAATAATAATTATAATATTATAATTTTATATAATCTGTGCTATTATTATAAATTATTTAGGTATTTATTTGTTATCTATATCTGTGCCTAGATGATAAGCAATGATAATACATTAATTTTTGATAACATTGTCCATGATTAGAGTGTGCTTAATGTGCTTGGATTTTCGATTTTTACAACAAATTAATAATCCACCTATTTCTTATTGTTTTCATGAGTGGTTATATAGTTTTTAAATTTTAGAAAGATTTTTAATTCAGCACTAAATACTTTGATGTGATTGTTTAATATAAATGTATTAAAACTATGTTTTTTAGACGCTTAAAACTATCCCATACRCGATGTTTTTTACCGGCGTTTTTCTTGAATAAAAATGAACACGATGTAGAAGGAACTGGAGTATTAGGTTTAAAAAAAGTTGGTGGTTGGCAAGGTGTTGTGAACGCGTTTTCCACCGAGTAGGAATACATTTCTAATAAAAATTATAATTGGATCATTTAGTTTTATTACAATTTATAATTGTTTTCAGCGAAGATGGTAATCCCTCTCCAGATGTAAGAGCTATATTTTCAACAATATGTTACAGCAGTTTAATGGGTGGTGTGTATGGAAGTATATCATACAGTAAACGGGCTTATGAGGATTTTTTTCTTAAGAACCAATCAACACTGTTTCAAAATCAGTTTGAAGCCAAAGTATAAAATTCAAAGTCATATTATATACTATCATCTAAATCCATTCTGTGAAATCAAATATTTATTTCCATTAAATTTTTAGGCTAAACTACAATCTCAAGTAACACTGGCAATGGCAAGAGGCGTCTTTAAATGGGGAACCAGGATAGCACTATTCTGTGGATCATTTACGTATGTTTTTAATTTAAATAATATTATACTATATCTTAAAATTATTGGGAAAAAAAATGTCTGAACTTGTCCTACTTTTTCATGTGTTTGAATTGTATTACTTGAATAGTAAGAAAAGATGATAATAAGACATTTTCCAAACATGATAAATTTTTTTTTTAAATAATGCCGAGTGTATTCTACCTTAAACATAATTTTTATTTTATACTAGCTAAACTAGTAGCTTAACTTAACTAAACTTCATAGCCTGTTAAAATCCTACCTCTTATATGCCTCAAACTGTTTGTTAAATTTGTTACCTGTTTTTATACATATAGCTAGATCACGGTTAGAATATACCAAGTAATAACTAATAATCTTACAACAATATTCAATTTAGTTTATCATTATGTAATTTTATTYGTTTTATCRAATACATATTTTATATAAAAGTAATATTTTGATAYACTTGTGATGMCTAATACCAATGTTCATAATGGTTCAGGTGATATATGTAATTCTGTAATTTTACTTTCCGCCAGAACTGCATATACCTGATGCCTCATTCTCAAATTTGAATACTCTACAATATATACATAATTTATCCATTTTTCCAATAACTTCACTTGGATGAATGCTGTAATTATAATTAATATTGAAATAGAATGCACTGAGATTCAAATCTGTGTGAATGATTTGTCCGTAACAAGCTTAAAATTGTCTGTCGATTTTCAATTATGCATCTCGTTGCTYAGGTTGTTTCAGATAAACGCACTTGTGCGTGAAGTTGCTGTCCGTTTCCAACCTTGCAAATCTTTGCTCGATTGTTTCTGAAGCTCGTATTGCCATTTTCTTTCGTGCTAACCAWTCAATCCTTTTTTGGAAGGCATAATTTTAGAGGTAGAATTTTTTACGGACTATGAAGTGCACAGTTAACGATAATTCAGGGATATATGTTATAAGCTTATAACAATAATTTAATAATAATAAACAACCATCACTAATAGCAARTATYTATAAATAAACAAAAATTTTCATAATATACCTCTGTACTAAATTCCGTCGCAATTGGTGCAGCCATTTAGGAATGCATAAAGGACAAACAGACAGAAATCCATTTTTATATATTATATAAATATATTAATCGTTATAAATGTTTAAAATATATTTATACTATTATATTTTATTACTGAAATACAAATTAATATTATAAATAATTATTACGTTTATACATTTTGTTGTTTAGATAGTGTAAAAACAAAAAAACAAAAAAATATAATTATATTTGTACATTTTTTCATTATTTTCATTTTTAGAACTGTAGTAACTGTCGTAAATGCCTATACACAAAAGGTTACTGTATTTAGTTATGCTGCAGCTGGTCTTGTAGTTGGTGGAATTGCAAGAATAAGTTTTGGTTTGAAAGGTTTTATTGTTGGATCCACATTGGGTATGTATTAATAATATGAATACAAATACATATAAAACATTTAGGACTTTGCTTKTTACATGCACCTCTAGTCTATATATTTGTAACACAATTTTATTAAGAGGATGTCAGCACAATATTTGTTTTCTCTCTATACTACACACAACATAACAGGTTTATGTTCTACAGAAACCAACTCTGTGTTGTTATTTTGGATTTGTATGATACTTTAATTTTTTTTTAAATTTATAAGCATGTTTAAATTGTAATAATTTACACGCTCAAAATTTACATAAAAACTAAAAAAACTTAGTTTATATTTTGTATAAATAAAAAAATCTATATTAAACTTTTTGTATTTTATACGTAAAGCCAAATCAATTATTTTTTTAAATTAAATATTTAAAGTTCAAAAAAATATTTCACCCTAAATCTATATATGTTTATATTTTCAGGAGCTTTCTTAGGTGTTATTGTTGGATGTTGTACATTATTAATATTAAAGTTTTCTTCATTCACTATGGATGAAGTAAAAGAATGGCAGAACCAAAGTCAAATAGAGAGAGATTTGTAAGTATAAATAAATAAATATAAATATAAATTTAAAAAAATGTTAGTCAACCAAATTTGTATTCGTTATAGATATTTTGTGAAGGAACAAAAAACATCTCGGATATTCAAGTATGATAAACCACCTGAACTAGAAGAACATGAAAAAAGATTACAAAAATCAGAACAATTTCCGAATAAAGAATAACTGTTATGATTTATGGTAAACATCTGTTTTATTAATGTTCATGTTACAATACGTCATGTCGTCATGTGTTATTATTTTTCACAACAATTAAAATAACTAATCCAAAATAATTTAACAAAGAATTATATTTTATTATCACTATAATATGGCTAATGACACTGTATTGGTTGGCCTCCATATGGTATATTGGACTACAATGATCCGTGTCACAATGAAAACCCTTGTATCAGTACTGTTAACAGATTCCACGGTCTCGCTGTCGTTTAACACACTATTCCTATTAATCTTACAAAATATCAGTAGATATATTATTATTCATATAACATTATTCTGAAGTTCGTAACACACAAGACGGTAAGCTAAAAGTTTAAATATCATATATTATGTTATATCTAATTCTGATACAGTGAAACTGTCGATGAAATCTTATCTTTTTTCAGCGCCATCAATTGCTTTAACTATTGTTTCATGAAATTAGAAACAAACTATAAATAATATTTTTTAACTGTGCATTATATTTATAATTTCAGAATGAAGTGTATTGTCATGTATTCARGGTACTTGGGTTACTTGTTAGTTGTTACTAACTTAGTCATACGGCAAAATTGATTCTTCATATGCATTGCGCCCTTGCTGCCTTGGTGAACCATTCATTGCAGTCCAATAATCCTCTAAATWGCATTCAATTATTTCCAACATTAATTGTTGCTTCTTCCACAGAATTTCAATGTTCACTAGCATAACTTACAAATTAATCAACCRGTAACATGTAAATATTGTTAGTAATTTGTGTTGAAGTATATAGTGTTATTATTTTAGTATATCATATTACATGTAACTTAATTATTCCCTTACTACTGATTGACCATTGTATCCATCTGTTACAACGTTCATATGAATGATTCATATCATCACTTAATTCATATTGGACGATTTAGAAAACCAGAGTTAATCTACCTTAATCTKTATTGTTTACCTGGATAAAAAAAACCTGATTTTAGTATTGTTACATGGTAGTAACTACAAAATGTTGTCTATCTCTGATGCAATGTATCAGGAGCATAATTTAGTATACTATATTACTTTGCCAATATAGAGTAACCAATAGAATGAATGCAGTTTAGTTCTCAAGTGATAATTGAAAATTTTTTTAATATATATGTATGTCTACCTTGATTAACATTATGATGCTTACTTTCAAAAAAAGTCGGTCAAATTTTCTGAAAGATATGTTCAAATAATTTAAAAATTGTGTTTTTAAGTTAAAAATACCAAAAATAATATTTTAATAAACGTGAGTATTTTACCCTCGACATTTTTGGTGAAATCAAAAATGTCTTATCGTACTTGCTATAATAACATAMATTTTAATAGAGTAATTACTATTTATTTCTCTCTCGATGGTGTGTCGGACGRATGGGAAATGGTAATACGCAAAACGCAAACTTTAAAAAGTTATAACTTTGAAACTAATTCCGATCGACAAATTCTGATTGCTCAATAATTGTTCTTAACTCGTTGAAATATAGAAAAAAAAAATCGTTTTAGCAGCTACTTAATACACTGCATTTATGCTTCAGCGTTAAATCGAGAATGATGCCCTATGCCCTACGGTTATTGAGGTCTTGGTGAAGTTAAAACAAATTAGTGATGACTCGTATGCCATTTATACGCTTCATTTAAATCAGTAGCGCGACATTCAGTTAACAATGAAGATCAATATCTATAAGATATGTAGGTTTGATTAAAACTGGACAATTCATAATTCAATTATATAATAACAAAATGAATCTGAAAATAATTTTACGTAAGTACCCTATATGTTGTTCAGAACAGTGTAAAGAATACAACAATAGAAGAGAAGTAAGTGTAGATAGTAATAAGTTTAATGTAATCCCCTAACAATCGGTTTTAAATAGTTTCCCGAATGAAGCGAAAGATGTTGAAATGATAATGCGATAGCCGATAGACTAAAATACTCATACAATTTAAAATGCTAAATGCTCTGTATTAGAGAAACATATTATCTATATAATATACTTATATTACATTATTTGGGGTGGGGAATTTACAGATCTTTAGTTAGAAAGAAAGAAACACAACTAATACACTAATAGGTATCCAGGATCTTGTAAATTTGGAAATATCTGATTCCAGCAAAGAATAAATATCCTAAAATAATTGTAGGTACACACCCACAACTGAATACAGATACGGAAGAGTTCAAAATTGAAAATATCCTCATGGCCCAACAAAAATATTGACGAATACTTAGCTCCATTGTTATTCAAMATTTTTATATTAGATACTATAATACTATAATCAAGGTGGATTTTTAAAATCTACCTTGGATTATCCAAGGTGGATATCAATAATATTGTGCACAGTAATTTTATTATGCATTACCTATCACCTATCGGCTTTCAATATGTGTACAATCAAGTATAGATACAAACAATATGAAAACAAATTGATCACTCGGTGAGTACCTATCTATTTTGTATTCGTAGCTCATACAATAGATTAATGATTATAGTAGGTACCTAGATATATTATGCTGTATGTATGTGTGCCTATAAGCTATKTATGACATATTATCACAAATCTACTTTAYTACGTCGGTATAATATAGGTATTAGATAGCTAGGTAGCCAAGCAAGTATTGACTTTAAGTTAATAACAGTTATTAATATTATTTGAAGTAATATTAAAATAATTGTATTATATAATATAGATAGGTATCCTATGATTCCTATGCGATTAGTTTTGGCCAAAATTTAGTTGAACCATGTGTAGGTACTAATAAAAAATAAATAAGGTTTAACAATATACCTACTATAAAAAAATATGAAGAAAAATAGGTTGACAGACTATTTTCACTCAGAATCGTTTTTCATTGTACACTACAGTGTTTTGATTCAAATTAAACTCATTAATTATATTGACTACACCTACTCAATAAAGAGATATAGGTACTACACTCTACAGTCAGTACCTACTATTAACAGCAAAGTGAGGATTTACCTTCTCRCTGTAACCGCCACAGTGTAGCCTGTACGGCTGTACTGCCTGTAGGTAGACACCTACACATGTACCTACCTAAAAGACAAAATTTAATGTATACTAATTTGATTCCATTGGTATTGTAGGACAGCAGGTATAACTGCAGATGAAAAAATATAAATTGAAAAATYATCTTAATATTGTTCAGGTAATTTATTTTACAGCCAATTTAATATTTATTAATGAAAAAATGTTATCAGTTATGAAACCAAATTCGCAAATGTTTTGAGAATTAAGTAGGCAGATATACCTAGTAGG